GCTGATGGAATGATCAAGGCATAGTCTTTGCAATATGATTTAGGCACTGGCCGGACAGTAACTAAGAACTTCTGTGAAGAAAATAAACTAGGACAAGGTGGATTCGGAGCGGTTTTCAAGGTAATTGATGTTATAAATAAGAGAAGAAGCATAACTTTGGTATTCATTAAACTCACATTTAGTTACTATATCACTTTGCTTTATATATAGGGCAAGTTTCCAAATGGATAAGATGTGGCTGTAAAAAGGCTACCTAGTGCTTCTGGACAAGGAGACTTATAATTCAAAAATGAGGCCCATTTAGCGGCCAAACTTCAACATCGGAATTTGGTTAGACTCTTTGGTTTTTGCTTGAAAGGAGATGAAAGGCTTCTATTCTATGAATTTGTACCAAACAGAAGCCTTGATAATTTTATTTTTGGCATCGGCCTTTTTATTTTTCCTCTAGATTCAGCTTTTAATTCTGTTCATAAATAATTACATTTGAGTTTATATGTTGGAAGGGGTTTGGTCATTTTCAAAGCCCGCAACATCTTTTAAATTCATATCCTATATGGTTATTGGTTCTTTTCTTTAATGGCATACTTATACGAACTATGAACATATAGATCCTACCAAGTGTGCACAATTGGATTGGGAAAGGCATCACAAAATCATCGGAGGCATAGCTCGTGGCCCCCTTTACTTGCATGAGGATTCTCGTCTTTAAATAATTCATCATAATCTCAAAGCAGGTAACATTTCATTAGATGAAGATATGAATCTTAAAATTGCAGATTTTGGGATGACAAGATTAGTTCTAAGAGATGAAACATAAGGCAATACCAGTAGAATTGTAAAAACTTAGTAAGTATTAAAAAAGAGAAAAACTTTGAATTGTTTCTTATACAAATAAATAGTCAAGTAGAATTGTTTGGTTTTGATTGCATGAAAGTACAAAGAATGGTTTCCTTATGTATTGCTTTAAGAAAATACCAAAACATGAGTTTATCATTTTTTATATTGAACTTAATATCATTATGTTTGATTTGCATGCAGTAGATATATGGCTTCAGAGTATGCAATGCATGGGCAGTTCTCAATAAAGTTAGATGTATTTAGTTTTGGTGTGTTGCTTCTAGAAATTGTTAGTGGTTAGATAAATAGTTGCTTTCAAAATGGGGAGAATATAGATGACCTACTAAGTTTTGTAAGTATGAGAATCTATACCTACTATGTTTCTTTCATGTGACAAATATTAATTAGAAGTTCAAATCTTAGTTTGATGTTTTACGCACTTGTGCATTTATAACCCTTTGCAGGTAGGGACAGGATTGAATTTCCTAGATCCAACTTTGAGGAATGGTTCAACAGCTGAAATGATGAGATGTGTCCATATTGGTTTGCTATGTGTTCAAGAAAATGTTGCTGAAAGACCAACCATCACTACTAGAAATTGCTTATATTCAGACCTACATAATTCAGACCGATTGATTTTGGTCTGAAAATATATTAAATTGGACCATTGTTGGTCTGAATATTTATTGATTAGAAATGACCGGTCAGTTTATTAGGAACTTTTTATTCAAACCAACAATGGTCTGAAAATTATGGGCACCAAAATAGTAAAAATGCGCCAAAATTTTTCAGACCAATAGTGGTCTAAATAGTGTCATGAAAAAGATAATTTGCCAGGTTGTTATGTTTTGGTTTGAAAATAACAAGGTAATTTTTTTTATTGAAAATAATATTTAAATGCAAGATTTTTTCATTTAAATTTTGGGTCACTATATTCGAACCACTACTAGTCCTAATAACCTATTCAGACTATTAGTGGTCCAAATATTAGGTCCATTTTATTTTTTTTCCTTTCAATGTTTTATGTTTATTTAAGGGTTTTATTCTTTATTTATTATTTCAATTATTATGTTACTTGCTAGTTTTTATTGATATCATTATGTTTATTTTATTTTACATGTTTTGTATTATCATAATTATATTTATTTTATTTAATAGATTAATCTTAATTTATTAATACTATAATTATATTAAGTGTATTGTCCTTTGTTTTATAATTTGGTTAATATTTTGTACTCTATATTTATATAATTATATTTATTTTATTTAAAATGTTAATTTTGATCTATTAAATATTTTAATTATATACTAATTAAATAACATAATTATTTTGCTTGTATTGCTTTTCTTAATTCTATTTTTAACTATTTCCAGACCATTACCGATCTGGAAAAGTTATTCGGACCAACTGTGATATGAATATGAAGTCCCTTTTTTTCTTTTTTTTCTTTTTTCCTTTGAAAGTTTTATGTTTATTTGGGGGTTTTATTCTTCATTTATTATTTTGAATATTATGTTATTTTCTTGTTTATATTGCTATCATTATATTTATTCTATTTCACATGTTTTGTATTATCATAATTATATTTATTTTATTTAACATATTAATCATAATTGATTAAATACTATAATTATTTTATGTGTTTTGTGCTTTTTCTTTTTTATAATTT